AAAAAAAAAAAAAAAAAAAAAAGATTAGGTATCGCCGTGGACAATTGACAATTTTTGTACGCATAGAATCAATTTGGACAAATTGACGGTTCAATTTGCCACGATTAAGGGCGAGGCACGCGATATTTCGCGGCTTTGAAAACCATCATTTCCACCCTTTCTTGCGCGCCCTTCCCGCGCCTTCGATAAAAGCTACGAGCCAATAAATTCCAAAGTAACGATCTTTCTTCCGCTTTTTATAGAGACATTTCTTGCTTCTCGTGCTTTGGTCAATCTATTTGAAACGATCGGTGTTTCAAAGCGGGACACAAAAGCCCGTAAAAGTCGCAATTTTAACGCTTCGAGAGACGTTTTCCCCGATCACGAGATACACCTGTCACGATAATTAATTGTAATTATTATTCGGGGGGATAATTTTCATTTTCGTTTCAAGAATCGAGGGTGTCGAGATCGGGTGTGGATTAACGTCGTAATTTCTTTCGCACGCGAACCAACGATATTCTGATGGGAATCTCGGTCAAAGTGATCGTGATCGATAACCCTTACGATTTACTGGACGAAAGCTTAACGCGTCGTGGAATAATTGTATGATATCGAAATAATTTTTATTCCTCAGTGGTGATGAGTATTTCTATTATTAGGAGATTAATTGTTTAGTTTTCAAAAATAAAGTTAAAAACTGATTATAAATTTTGACTTTTGCGTGGTTTGTGCAATTAACCGAGATAATTGAAATGTCACTAGAGAAAATTTGGAAAATTACTCAGGTCATTATTTATTCCGTTTGACGTATTAAAAAATTGTAATATCGAAAAACGATCACTTCTTTACTTTCTTTCGCTTTATAAAATCGATATTTCCTCTCTTGTTTTAAGCAAGAATAAAAATATATTTTAAAAAAATTTCCTATTCACGTTTCCGCCTTGGTTACCTGACATTTAAAACTTATTAATTTCAAACGATGGATAATATAATACGTTTGCAATTTGAAAAATTAAAATGCAAAAGGAAGAATAAGCAGTGTTCCTCTGAATAAAATATCTGGAGCATCGACGAAGATCGATGAGGTGGCGCGAAAAATCTCAATCTAGGCCATCAAGTTTATATTCATAAATATAACATGTGCTCTTCAGATGTTGCCTCCCATAAGAAAATCTCTCACGAGAGGTTGGATACATTCACACCTTCGTTCTCGAGTTTCAGATTCGCTTCGAATCAACGAAAATTTTTCTCTACCCCCTCTATACAAAATATAAAATTTTCAATTGCATAAATAGCCCCTTTGTATATTATTTAATCGTATTTTACTTTTATAATTATTATTACATATACACAATATTGGAGAAAATTATTTGTACACAAATTTATTTATATTATAATAATGTCACATTACGTATTTTATTAAATAATAAACTCAAGTGTATCGAATTTCAAATATAATTTAGCAACGACTATCATATGACTATACAGAAATTCGATATTATGGAAATGAAACGCGCGATAAACAAATCCTTTGTTCAGAAATATGTATACAAATACTTTTTTCTAATAATTTCATATATATAATAATAATTATAAATGTAAATTATAACATAACAAAGAATTAATAAAAATTCAACTTAACCAATATTATATAACATCCTCGAAATGTGACAATTAACATCAATTTAAAAAAAATCATAACATCGTTTCAAAATCCAATCGTATCCAATCATCGTCTCTCCATATAGGACCAAAAATAAAAATTTCCCCATAATTACACTAAAAAAAAAAATAATATAATTACACATACATACACGAGTTCCTCTTACCTTCTCCACATCGTCTCAATTCGAACAATATTCCAACTCGTAGCAACCTGTCTCCCGATAAATCGGTTGGAAACTCGCGAGACAGGAATATTTGGATGTCCATCGTTAGTAAGAGACATGGCGTGTGCGTGTATACATACACACACACACACTTATATACATATATACGCACGTCATTCTTCTATATATAGAAGTTCGAAAGGGGGGCTAGCATGACTCCCCGGCATTGATCGCAGTGCCACCCCATGAGCAGCCCCTAATAACACCCTCTTCCTTCCTCCGTGGCAGACTCACCCTCGGCAGCCACCCTCCGCTCTCAACTGCGCCCTTTGCTAACCCAATCTGAGAGCCGTGCAGCAAACGGCTCTCAACCTCGACGGTTCCACGGCCAGCTGGCCGGTCAGCTGATTCCTGCCGGCGTGCCGGGACGCCCATTAGCCGCCCCAACTAAACCTATTAACTCCCACGACCTGATAACGAGCGCAACTCCCTCGAAAATCCCGCGGCGACCATCTCGCGGACATCTATCTCGCTCGTTCGCACCTATCCTCCCAACTTTTCCCTCGATTTCGTAGCCTTCGAATGAACGTGATCGGATGATGCTAGCTGTTGGAGGGGGATGTTTCTTCAAGATGGAAGGAGATTTTTTTTTTTTCGTTTTTCGATGGATGCAATCTGAAAATTGAACATTTTGTGAGCGACATATTTTTTTGTCAAAGAAAATTTCGAAACAAATTTTTTGAAGAATGAAAATGAATTTTTCTATTCTTTTATTCCTTTAGAGAAAATTATTTTGTTCGATTTTCTTTAAAAATCTGAGAAACGAGTGGAAGACAATTGCGGATTTGAATTCGATAAAAATTTTGATTTTTGAGAGATTTCCGGGAAGAAAAGAAAAGAAGAGAATTTTCCAAGATGGAAACTGTGAATTCTCGAAATTATGAATTACCTTTTCGTTCCACGCTGTTCCAAAAATTCCAACGCAATCTTCCGCCCGAGGAAATTCCTAAAAATTCGCATCGCGTCGTGGAAGAAGAAACAAAAGGAAGAAGAAATTTGTTTCGAAAGAATTCCAATTCGAGAGAGAGAGAGAGAGAGAGATAAAAGAAACCCGAAAAAATTATGAATTCACGAAGATACCTTTTCGTCCCACGCTGTTCCAAAAATTCCAACGCAATCTTCCGCCCGAGGAAATCGCGAATTCACAAACAAAAATAGGTTTTTCGACGAGATTCCATCTCGTAAAGAAAAGGAATCTTTCGGCCGAGGATGGAAACTGTGACACGCGAGCTCAAAGTTTTTCATCGAGGATTGGGTCCTCCCCGTATCGGGATAGGAAGGGAAACGATCTGTCACGATCGAAGAAGAGGAAAAAATTGCGGAACGAGGCGGCGGCGGTGGCTTGTGTGCGCCGTGCGACGAATTAATTAGTTCGAACGTGGCCGGCGCGT